TTTTCAGCATTAGCTTCTTTTATTTTGCAAAATCAGCCTTTGAGTTTAACAGAGTCTTGCATGAAATACAAAATATGAGGCGTATTTTGCTTCGTTTTTTTTTGCATTTTATTGTGACAAATTGCCTCTACATTCCAAAAGCTTTAGCGCTATGGCTTTCTTGGTCTTGAAATTTTTGCTTTTTTTACCACTTAAAATTGACATTAGTCTTAAAAATAAGCAAGAAACAACAAAAGAAGATACCAAAGAGAAAATAAATGATGCACAGGAAAATTTATCAAATGCAAATGATTAATTGCTTGCAATTCTAACTCATGCGGTCTTGACATTGTCATGAAGTCATRTTTAGTATTAAGTGGAAACTGAATTATTGGCAAAATATTTAATGCAGAGAAAAAATAGGAAATGTAATCAAACCTGTACTAGTRAAGCATGATTGATAAAGTTTCCTGCTTGAGAATAATATTATATATTTGATTTATTGGAATCTATGTACATTGCATATTCATAAAAAGGAATATTTTTCTTTCATTCATCTTCACAAGCTCTGAGGCTGCTCATGAAGCTTTACCTTTCAAAAAATAAAAATAATTTCTTTTAAAGTGTCTGCATGGCCTCTTAATTGTATGGGAAGGGCAMAGATACTCTTTTATAATTCTAAGGATTTTTTTTTTTTTTTTGCAGGCCTGAAGACTATTGTAGGAGCCCTGATTCAGTCTGTGAAGAAGCTCTCAGATGTGATGATCCTGACTGTGTTTTGTCTGAGTGTATTTGCACTGATAGGGCTGCAGCTGTTCATGGGCAACTTGAGGAATAAATGCCTGCAGTGGCCTCCAGACAATTCTACTTTTGAAATAAACATTATTTCCTACTTTAACAGCACAATGAATGAAAATGGTACACTTGTTAACATGACAGTGAGCACATTTAACTGGAAGGATTACATTGAGGATGAAAGTAAGAATGTCTGATGTAACTATTTTAATATATTTGTGGCTAAAATATGTAATGTTTGTGACCAAAGAACATTGATTGTTTATATTTCTGACTTATGTAAATCTGCTTACCATCACTGATTGACAGAGATCAAATGCATACAATAAAAAATACAATAACCAGAAAGATTCCAAAACAAGCTACGAAGTGATCAGTAACTAGCCATTTTGATTTAACAGAATTTATTTTTATTTTACATTGTACACTTTCAGGTTTATTTGATCTATTCATATATATTTCTAATGCTTTCTACACAGCTCATTTTTACATTTTGGAAGGACAAAGAGACGCCTTACTTTGTGGTAATAGCTCTGATGCAGGGTAAGACCCTTTCAAAAATTCTGTTATGCTCTGTAGAAAAAGTAGTAACATGAAACCCAGTTGCAACTCCATATTTAGCAGAGTAACAGAACTTACAGAGTTTTGCAGCTAAGTAAGAATTTCTTTGTTTTACACTCTGGCTAAACAAAATATTAATTAATAGTCTTTTTCCTGCTTAATTGGAAAATTAGGTTKGTTTTATTGATAAAATGTGAAATTTTGTAAAGTTTCTTTTGGCAATTTATTGATTGAAGAAAGTAGGAAGAAACAAAACAGACGTGAGAAAGAGAACATGCAAAATGTTAAGAAAGCACAGCAGTGACTTCACAGTTCAAGACTGATTTTTTTTTTCAAGTCTAACTATAATTTCTGGGAAATTCAGCCATTCACATGTGCCAAATTATGTTAGCTGAACTTGGATGCCTAACTGGCAACAGTGAAGGGGTTTACTAAATATATATAAATCAGCATCATGCGGGAAATTCCCTAATACTACAATTGGATTTAGCTAATAATATTGTTTAATCTGTCTGTAAGTTTTGCAACATTTTACCARTTATTTCTGCCCATAAATAATTCATTTGGAATAAAGATTACATTTACAAAACATAATTGAGAAGAATTTTAATATTTAGGTCATTTCAACCAGTGAGCAGATAGAAAGGGTACCTTTCATTAATTATGTCATTAGTTAAATTTTTAGGAATTTTTTTCTGAATGAATTTAATTGTAATTTATGGGTTTCCTGTGAAAAAACAATGCGTGTTGCTCCAAAAGATAATAGATATTTTCTAGAAGGGAATAAAAGTTATGACTAAGTGCTTCCTGTTTGGTTTTCACATAGGCAATGCCCMGAAGGATATATATGTGTGAAAGCTGGTAGAAACCCCAACTATGGCTACACAAGTTTTGATACATTCAGTTGGGCATTCTTGTCACTGTTTCGGTTAATGACTCAGGATTTCTGGGAAAACCTCTATCAGCTGGTAAGAAATTTTTATGACATAAGTAGTAAACTGTTGGTGATTTCCAAAATTGCATACGTAGGCTTTTTTTCACATGAGCTGAAAGCATAATTCTGTTGCAGTGGATAAGCTAAGTGGTGGAATAATATATAGTTATGCTTTCTGCTCCCTAGACACTGCGTGCTGCTGGGAAGACATACATGATATTTTTTGTTCTGGTGATTTTTCTGGGCTCTTTCTATCTGATCAATCTGATCCTGGCTGTGGTCGCCATGGCCTATGAAGAGCAGAATCAAGCAACCATGGAAGAAGCAGAGCAGAAAGAGGCAGAATTTCAGCAGATGCTGGAACAATTRAAGAAGCAACAGGAAGAAGCTCAGGTAATGATGGAAATAATGCTTTCTGAATAACTTTGTTCTTAAGGCAAGGAAAACATCTTTTATGATTAAGAACATGCACAAATTGTGCAATGAATTACAGAAAATCAAAGGTCTTCTTTACTATGCAAGTTATAAAAGTGGAAACMGCCAATGAAAACCAGGAACTAACCAAACAGTAAAAAAACCAATGGTACAGAATAGTACAGAAATGAATGTTACTTCATTCATCAAAAGACTGTAAAAATAAAATGTTTGTGGTAAGAGTGCTCTAGAAAACTGCCTTTAAGTGGTCATAATTAATGATGTTACAGATCTTACAGATAAATTGCTGTACTTAGTAGTTCTSCCCAAATATTCATCAGAGAGAAGGATTGTAATTAGCATTCTTTTAGGGTTTTGTCCAGCAAGTACTTAAAAACATCCCTGACACTGCAGTCAATGAGAAGCTTACGTATTCTTAGAAAAGCAATATTCAAAACCAGATGAGAAGTATTTATAACAAAAATATTATTTCAGAATTCTTTTAAAGTAATCTTTGCTTCCTTTGAAAATAGAAGAAAATTGTTTAAAGTTTTATGAGAAAAAAGACATTTTAAATAGATACTTTTGTGGAAGGTTTTCTTATCCAAAAGTAAAATATATGCAGGAGTTCAGGTCTGTGAGTCAGCCATGTGTCCAATTTCTGGACTGATTTTCCATTACTTTTCAAAGGGCATTTAGTAATTTTCAACAGGACAGTGTTTCTGCAATGCTAGCAAATTTGATTCTTCTATAAAACTATATTTTTGATAGTACTTTACAGGTACTTTCACTAAATTAGAATGAATCCATGAAGAGCTACTGTCTTTTGCTTAAAAATAAATCTTTATGTATGACCTGTGAAATCTAATTAGCATATCTTTATTTTAGTCATTAAACTTTATCCCTCAAGAAAGAGCAGAATCCTGCAAAATTCAAATTTAGAAAGGTTGAATGTCAGCAAASTGTATATTGCTGCATTTTTCTCAAATCTGGTATTTTTAATGCCTTGAAGGCACTAAATCACATTAAAAGATATCAGGAGGCTCGTCTAGATGTTTGTATCTCTGAGAGTGGGGAAAAATGAAGCTTATCCAGACTTAGAAAGAAAAACAGAAACAGAGACTATAAGTAAAGTTGAATAAAGATCCTGCACGGGTGTATTGTTTTTTTTTTTAATGAGTGACCACTACATTCATTATAAGTAAAGCATTATTACAGTCAGGATCTCTTTTGTTTGTGAAAATCTTTACAGAAAGTAGGCGGTAAAAGGTGGATCATTGAAGTGTTGAATAAGTTGCTGAGGCAGAAATTAGTTTGGGACCCATCTCTTCACCCCTTAACAYTGAACCTGTTCATCCACAAACTTAAGTAATGACAATGGTGTTTGGACTGCTCCACTTGTTTGACCTTTACTATTAGTATTAAGTTGATGAGTGATGACTCAGCATCTGCTGTTGGAGTCTTTAAAGAATGATATTTGGAGCCAGTATGACAAAATTTTGAGTATTGCTTTCCCATTTTCTAAACACTTCAGAATCGTTTTAGTACTGCATTTGGAAGAAAAGATCTGTATCAAGTCAACTTCTATAACATGGGTTATATATTGTGGCAAAGGAAGACATTAATTCATACTATGAGCTTTCAAACTATCCTTTCCTGCTCTGGAGAGATATGTCATCATTCCTGAAATACTTGGCATTGAATATAATATGTTTYGCTGGATAATTACTAGTCATCTTTGTTATATAACCCTAGTCTCTTGCCATTTATCACACCACCTTTTTTTTGTAAGCTAAGAGCAGCCTATCATCTTCCTAAAGATATTTTCCACTACAGAATTTCAYAGCAATCTCCCACAGTTCTTTCGAGGAACAGCACTGGACAAACTCTCAATTTGTCTTTTTTGGATGATTAAAGAACTTTTCCCTAATGAACCAAAACAAGCAGGCTGACCACTGTAGTTAAAGATTCTGGTCCTGAGTTTTGGGATGACTCTACTCCAGTAATTCACCTTACCCCTTTCCATCAGAGAAGAAAGCTAAACTTTTATTTTTTCTCTCAGGCTGTAGCACCAACAGGCACTAAATGTACCTTTGCATATCTATAGCAAAACCTTGGAGTGCAGATACAGTGGGATGTGGGGAAGGGAAAACATGAAGAGGGAGGCAGGGCTTGAAGATGTGTCTAGAGGGTGTGCCTGGCACCTGTGAAAGCAGTAGGAAAGTAAAGAGAGTGTTCTTGCTGTGAAGACAGTGAGGAAAGGCTGGATTCAACTGCTTTCAGGTGCTAGTTGGATTTTGATTAATATTAACTCACATGATGAATGCTGGGCATTAGTTTTCTCAGTCATAGCTCAGAAGGGATTGCCTGAATTAGGCCATGTTTGGGCTTTTCTCAAGAGAAAATGGAATAACAGGTCTGAAATATACGAAAAAGCACTATATTAACACTTTTCTGAATACTTTTATTTTAGATGAGTGTCTTGTGCAGAAATTCTTTAACAAATAGTGTAGATATTAATTTGCTGAWGTTGGTACTTGAAATAGATAATTTGCACCCTGAGGACCCGTAAAACTCTTTCTTCTGTGCAATTTGTCTGGGTATATTTACACACTTGAGTGTACAAAGAGCATTGTCACAGTGACAATAAAAACCAGTTGATAAAAGACTATAAAATTATTCTTTTTTTTGGCTTACTAAGAATACCTTGCTTTGTAACCTGACAGACAACAGCAGCAGTAGCAGCAGCATCAGTTGCATCAAGAGATTTCAGCGGTGTAGGGGGATTAGGAGAACTCTTGGAAAGTTCTTCAGAAGCATCAAAGTTGAGCTCCAAGAGTGCTAAAGAAAGAAGAAATAGAAGGAAGAAAAGAAGACAGAAAGAAATGTCTGATGCAGAGGACAAAGGAGATATTGATAAGTTCCCCAAGTCCGAGTCAGAAGACAGTTTCAGAAGGAAAAGTTTCCGCTTCTCCACAGAAGGAAGTCAACTGACATATGAGAAAAGGCTCTCGTCTCCTCACCAGGTACAGCACTCTATTTTACTAAGTCATGTGTGTCCACTTTACTTTTATTTTCACTGATATTACAACAGCTTTACATGCTGGAAGTCATGTAAATGGTGAGTGAAGGAAAAATCGGTGGTAGTACCACTCGCAGTGTGAGATGATTTGACCCATTCTGTTAGTAAAGGGATAAAAACAACATACCAAGAGTAATTGTAAACTTAATTAACATGTTTCTGAAAATGTATTTCTGAGGATGTGTCTAGAAGACTGGAAAAAGAAATACTAGTATTCACATATTTGCATTCATCAACCATAGGTTCTCTGTTCTGGATCCATTTCAAAACTATACAAATATGTGGAGTTCTTAGCAGACTGCAACATCAAAATATGTGGCACAGGAAATCCCACATTACTGTTAGTTTCTATTATTTTCCTTCATTAGCTTCTTTAACATGTAGCTAATRAGAAAAGAAGTGCAAGTGCTGTACAATTTGGACAAACTACATAGGGGTTGTTTGGGCTTGTATGTATAAGAATGTAGCCATACTGTTCTTTTTCATTAAAAATTCATGATACATGATGGAGAATCATTGCAATCATAGGAAAAAAGTCATTTATGAAGTACCTCTGGAAATCATTTAATCCTAAATTCAAAGCTCTATTCCCATAAATCMGAAGGTCTCTTCTGTCACTTAAGAATACACTCTCTGTACTTGGCACGCTCCTTGAATCCTGTGTCCAGTTCTGGGTCCCACAGTACAACACAGACATGGAGGTGCTGGAACAAATCCAGAGAAGGGCTGGGGAAGRTATACAGAGTGAGTTATATGAGGAGAAGCTGAGGGAGCTGTGGATGTTTAACCTGGCAAAGAGGAGGCTCAGCAGGGACCTTATCACTCTCTACAGCTCCCTGAAAGGCCGCACTCCCTGTGGCCAGGCAGGGTCAGCCTCTTCTCCCTGGCAACCACTGACAGCATAAAAGGAAATAGCCTCAAGATGTGCCAAGGGAATTTCAGTCTGGACATCAGGAGGAATTCCTTCATGGAAAGGATTGTAAAAAATTGGAATGGACTACCCAAAGAGGTGGTGGAGCCAACATCTCCTGAGGTGTTCAAGAAATGACTAGATGTGGCACTTAATGCCATGTCTAGTTGATGAAGTGGTAATCAGTCAAAGGCTGGAACTGATGATCCTGCAGGATTTGCAAGCCTAAATGATTCTGTTCTACATTTGCTTATTTCAAGGCTACACACAGTTATTGATTTTTTTTTCTTTTTTAAATCACACAGAATGCATCTCTTCAAAGTGATAATGTGTGGTCTGAACCAATAGATGACAATTACCTATGAATACCACCCATGTTGAGAATGATTTATTAAATAAAGACTGTCTTGACAATTGTTTTTGCAGCTGTAGCAAATCTTTGGGGCAGAAGTTGACAGCACACAACTAAAATATAAGTGCCACAAGAGTGAAAGAATTGCGGACAGTAGAATTAGTAAAGGAAGAACTCATTTGTTTTGTTATCCATGGAGTATCTCCCTGGTGAGACAGGGTCCAGAGCATGAAACAATGAGGCAGAATGGTAAGGGGAGATAATCTGCTCAGTTGGCCCCTGAAAGAGGTTTTGTCTYTTGATATCATATCCCATATGCAGATGAATGATGCAGTCTGCCAGCAAAGTCAAACTTTTATTTTAGTCCTTACTTTCTAATTGYATGTAGACACATATTTCTGCCTCTACATGTTAAAATTGCAGCCATTTTGGTTTATATCTTTTGTCTCAATACCGCAGGGACTTRCAGAGCAGACATTACTTCCCCCAAATCCCTGAGGGGGCTGCTCCAGTTAGCTGGGCTCAGACTGGTAACACATATTGGAAAGATTGGCCTGCAAATAAAACATAGCAGCCATGGGAACATTCGCTAAAAGAGCAAGGGTATCACTAGTAGTCAGATGAAACCCTGGTGAGCATGTGATTTTTTGAAGGACTGTAGGTTGGCYAGATATATTTACAAGGAAATGTAAAAAGGGTGTAGCAATTTCTGCTTTGTCAGAATTCAGTGTCATATTCCATAGAAGCTAGGGGATTTTTGTGGATAAAATTATTTTTCAGTATAAGCAAAAYAGCACTTTTTCTCCAGCCAAGTTTACATAAAAGGGTTAGCAAAACCATTTGGCTGACATTTTTCGAGTAACTCAGCCTGAGGCTGACAGCCAGCATAGAAAATTCCAGCCCAAACTATTAAAATTTGGTATAGCTGTAAGAGCAGAAAAAAATACATCTCATAATGTTAAACACTTGCCAGCCATTATAATGGGCAGTTCTGCCAGTTCAGTACACACATTGTGTCTGTGAATTTATGCATCTGACTGTGCATATACAGATATACATATAGTTTGATTTTCAAARTATTAACATGGGTTTATATAAGATAGGATAGTTTTCACTTTCACTTTAATTATCCTGGCATAAAACCCACTGCTATTACATATGAGCACTTTCCACCTGCAAAAGTAGTGGAAAAAAATGAGAATTTTCTCAAACTGGGTTTTTGATGCACCAAATGTGAAGGTTTATACAAATACAGCATGAAGAAAGCTGAATGCCAGTATACTTTTCTCCACAATTAGCATTCATTTTATTTATTCATGAATGTTCTCAATAAAATATGTAGCAAGGGATAAGAACACTTCATTAACCAGCTTCTACTGTAATTAGAAGATGAATTACCAATAAGCACTGTTTTATTTTTTTCTCACTTGTAAGAGAATATCTTTAGGTAACAGTGTCCCTGGTGAGTACTTGTTTGAGCTGCCTGGTGAGCAAGTAGTGGTACCTTCTGGCAGGTGTGTGCAGTCTGCTATGACCCCCAGAGAGCTRTGCCTGAGTGCTGCTACTGTCCCTCCAAAGCTTCCCCAAGCTGTCACCGCTGTCTTCTAGTTATTGTTCRTACACTATTGAGCCTATTGTGAAGAAGTCAAGTTCCTTACATCAGTTTAGAATTATTGCAATGTTAAAATTAAGATCACTTCTGTGTTTACCAAATAAAACAGAAAACAATGATTGCTGAGCATTATTAATTGCTATTCCTAGGAATCCAGGGGATAAAGAAGGGAAGAAAAGTAAAAAACTTCTAGCTCTGTATTCTAATAGAAGGAATAAAAGACAAATACCTGCAAAACCTTGATAGTGATATTAAAAACGTGTCTCCAGCCCAGTCCATACGAATTCAATGCACTTTCTTCTCTCAGAACTGTTCAACCTTGCTTATGTCTTTTRCTCAACTTTTCCTCAGTTCTGCAACATTACCTTAAAAGTACTTTTCCCCTCTACTTCAGGTCCCCTGGTGAACACATTCTCCTAATGGACACACTTATACTATGGAAGAAAAAAGTGACTGTCCTTTCTCCAGCACTGTAACTATTTTTTGCAAAGCCAAGACCTTACAACTTTAGTTCTAATGCTGTGTTTTGTTTTTTTTTTGTTTTAAATCTTTTACAGTCCTTGTTAAGCATTCGTGGTTCTCTGTTCTCACCAAGACGCAACAGCAAAACAAGCATTTTTAGTTTCCGAGGTCATGCAAAGGATATAGGATCAGAAAATGACTTTGCTGATGATGAACACAGCACTCTTGAAGACAATGAGAGCAGAAGGGATTCTCTTTTTATTCCAAATCGACATGGAGAACGGCGTAACAGTAGCATTAGTCAGGCCAGTGTGTCATCTAAAATGATACCAGCCCTTCCAGTAAAYGGGAAGATGCAYAGCACTGTGGATTGCAATGGAGTAGTTTCCTTGGTTGGAGGACCTTCAACTCTAACTTCACCAACTGGTCAGCTTTTACCWGAGGTAATTTCAAATAAATCACTAATTATTACGATTTGGTTCAGGCACAGAATTTTCTCTTACTCATCATCTCTGCATTTCTTATAATTTATAAAAGAAATAATTTGCAATAGTTTCTAAATAAGAGAACATAAAGGAAAAAAATCCTCAACCACCTGTCTAGGCCTTAGTAAGTATTATATTMTTCTTGCTTTCAGCAAGAGATCGGCTCATAGAAAAAAAGATGATGAACTGTATTTGAMAATTTGTATATTGTTTCACTTCAACAAAGGTAGACATTCAACATATAAATAAGGCTATACCTTGAAAATATGTATAGGAAAACACCTATAAAATTAAACAGAAGGTGGTCACTAATCTCAGGATAGTTACTAGAAATACCCCTTTCTGAATTTTTCTTGAGGAATTTTTTCTCATACCTTTCATGAGAAAAGTATGAGCAATTCCTATGTACCTTTGCAATTATGTAACATTTCAGTCTCAATTTCAGACTTTTGTAAGCTAAGATATTCTTTCGAACATTCAAATAAGCAAGCCTTTTCCATACATAGTATTTTATCTTTTATTTTTATTATTGTCACTAGCAAAAAGATACCTAGCAAAAATTTAAATGTGAATCATCTTTGAGCGCACATTATGCTGATATTGAGTACTCCAGTTGCTTATTTGTTGCACTCTACAAAATTCCTACTGAGTTCCTCAATAAAGAAGAAAGAAATCCTGACAAGAACTGAAACATTCAGCGTGTAAGAAAAACATAGTCTATTGCACAAATCTGATTTTGATTATCATTACAGTATTTGCACTAAATACTGCTGATTGGCTGTTTAAGTGGATAGTCTAATTCCTCAGTGTTTCATTTACAGGGCACCACCACAGAAACAGAAATAAGGAAAAGAAGACTGAGTTCATACCAAATTTCCATGGAAATGCTGGAAGAGTCTGCTGCAAGACAAAGAGCAATGAGCATAGCCAGCATACTTACAAACACAATGGAAGGTATTTCATGCATTTTATCTGACAGGCAGTTCAGTGAAGTTCTGCCAACTACATGTACAGAGAAATTATTTACATAATTTCCTTTGTAAATGTAAAACTGGACATGTGGAGTCTCAAACATCAGATGCAAAAGGCTTTTGAGCATTTCTAAGGCCATTTACACAAATGAAATGCTTAGCCATTTATTTTTCATGACACCTTCCAAAATATTGCTCTACGAGTGGACGAATAGACTTAAAGTAATGAGAGCTGGGGGATTGCCAGAGCCTCAAACAGGAAATATAGGGATTTTTCCCATTAGAAATCAGCAGGAAAAATCAATTAGGATAACCCAGGAATTGCAATGATAAAGTCAGTGATGTGCTAGAACAGTCATTTCCCTTAGGCTTTAAATCCAAGGATAAACAACAKGAAATTGGAATGAGAAATATAAAGAAAAAAAACCTCAAATGTAATCAACCATTGCCAATGCCTACAAAGTGCCTTAAGCATTTCTTAAATTTTCTTAGTTATTAAAGATCAGAAAAAATTGTATTTTCTATGTGAAAAAAAAWACTTTTGGGGGACTTTTTTCTTATTTAACGGAAACGGATTATGCTCGCTCTCCATACATATGCCATTGAAGTATTTTTGTAAGCTTAAAGGATCAACTACTGGTTACTGGCAAAGTGTGACTGGTGTTGGTCAGACCAACCTTGCAGATTCAACATATATTCTAGAAACACAAGAAATGACCAACAAACTTTACAGTGCTACTAAGCTAGTATTGAAATATAATTTTAAACTGAGTTCTGAGGCCCTTTGCTCTCAGATAAACAAATAGATCACAAACTAATTGTAGTCAGAAATACAAGGTTTATGTCACCTATTTGCTTCTAAAGAAAATTGTTCTCACAAACATGTACCTTTCTGAGTATGACTTCCTACTCTAGTGTAAGTGTGAGGTGTTGGTTACCTCTTAATTCTCGGTATGCAATTCTTGGGTCTCCTCTCCGTAAACAGGTATCTCTTTAGAGAGCTCTGCATTCTTCCTCCACTTAAATAATTTGTGCTTCCATTCTCCTGACCTGAAAAAACATGTCAGTGTAAACTGAATGGTCCTAATAGTCACCTCCTTACCCATGTCTGGTTTCCAGCATTTCAGAAGTTGCTAATGCACCAATGGAGTCTTCTCTGTCAACTCAGCATCCACTGTGAGTGGTCACTTTTGTCCAAGGCCAGTCCTATCTTGGCTTTCAGAATTCTGAGTTGCATATTCAGAAATGTGATTATACCACCCAATCCATATTTTCCTTCAGAAGTRCTATCTTTGTTACGGTTTATAAAAACTATAGAAACATTTAGCTACTTTATGATATCTTTTTCTGCCTGGAGAACTTGTYTGTTTCAACAGTTTGAAAGCTTTTAACTTCCAGTAATTCCACCCATATAGGCAAAAATCAAACCACTGCTCCTCAAAGTGGAGATTTTTGCAGTAAATCCTCATGAGCAAATCTGTGAAACAACTACTATAGCAAAATCATCCACAAGTGTCTTGATGATGGACATCTCTCTGTGCTCTAAGGGATGCCTGAAAAATAGGAAATGTCAGAGTTGGGTTCATGCCCCTATGCAGAAATTTTATCAAAACTGTTGTGGATATTCCTTACATGTTTTGTAGTCTACGTGTTTCTTAAGCAGCCATCAGTCTTCCTTCTATGCTGTCCTCAAGCATCCCATCACATTATATATTCATCCATGCTATTATTAACTTAGAAGTTCTAAGTTCTTCTTGTAACTTGGACAATATTGACAGTGAAATGGAAGAAAAAATAGTTTCCAAATATTCTAATTGAGAGCAGTTGCTGAACAGAGTTGTTCCGCTAAAAGTAATGTTCTGTTTCTTAACTGATAGACACTGCAACCACACAAGATGTTTTCAAACCAAATTAAATGCACTTTCTCTATTTTCATTCAGAGCTTGAAGAATCCAGACAGAAATGCCCACCATGCTGGTACAGATTTGCAAATACTTTCTTGATCTGGGATTGCTGGAGTCCATGGTTAAAAGTAAAGCATGTCGTCAATTTAGTTGTGATGGATCCATTTGTTGATCTTGCTATAACTATTTGCATTGTTTTAAACACCTTGTTTATGGCCATGGAACATTATCCAATGACAGAACAGTTCAGCAGTGTCCTTTCCGTGGGGAACCTGGTAAGTATTTGTCATGTATTACTTGATATAAAAATACCCTTATCTAAAAGAAGAAATGTACAAATGCATTGCAGTTTTAAAAACCTGTTTTAAAAGACATTCCAGAATGTCTTTTTATAATCAGTTGAGAAATGGTATATATGATTTTCACAGGTAAAGTGATTTTTTACTGGAGTCTTTATCTTTCACRAATGTATTTTTAATCACCATAAGGAAATAAATGAATATGGGTGGAATTGGAGTCTTCACTGGACCACCATATTTCTTGATGTCTGCCCTTGATTTTTTTCTTTCAAGTGTTAAGATAGATTATGCAATTTTTACCTTGGTACTGATATTATATCACAGAAAACACTTTTCTTCTGTACAAAATTAATAAATGTCAGATTCAATGTCAGAATTTTGCTTGAAAATTTTTTCAATTACACTTCAGTAAAAATACTTCTACAGAAAAGGCATGCKCCCAAACTTCTTTGTTGTGCTGCACAAACCACTGATTACTACTCAGTGCAAGAAAGAGTTGCATTAAATTCTGGATTTAAAAACATTAAGAAACATTGATACTTTCACATTTGGTACTTAGAGATATTTCAAATAACATTATCACCCTGAAGTTCATTTTCTAAAAGCAAATAACAGTCACAAAGCATAGTAACATGTGTGAACCCTTCATATTCTTACAAAAAGCCTGATACAAGGAGCTCCAACTTTCCCTGTGCACAAAACAGATTTAGAGAGTCTGACATTAGAGAGTACCATCTAACACTTCTGTTTAGATTATAAACTAGGAAAAATACTTGCTGACAAGTCTTCTTTTACTTTACTGGACCATCGTCATCAAACAGGACTGAAAGCACCAGGTCATATCACATCAATCTGCTGATGTCCAGAACACAGCAGGGAACTGAGCTGCTGATTGGTCAATAGCTTTTTATGAGTTTATCAAACCTGTGTCCTTCTATAAATGTCCTGATTTTGTAACTTGTTTTCAGTGTGTAGAAATACTTAGATGTCATTTGGAGATAGCAATTAGCTGGTTTTTATAGTAACARGTGAGAGAACTCACTGGATTGAAAAAAATTCCTCAGGTATATAAATTTCTCATAACAACCCATTAAAATTTGTTTTAGGTATTCACTGGCATATTTACAGCAGAAATGGTACTAAAGATAATTGCCATGGACCCTTATTATTACTTCCAAGAGGGCTGGAATATTTTTGATGGTATTATTGTTAGCCTTAGTTTAATGGAGCTTGGTCTTGCAAATGTTGAAGGATTATCTGTTCTTCGGTCATTCCGATTGGTAAGTACAGTGATAATTAAATATTTGCATGCAGTTATCTCACTCAAAATTTAAATGAATCACTGAAATGAAATTATAAACAATGCTTTTTTRACAAATACTCCAAATTTCCTGCTTTCCATTAAAATAATAATGTGTTACTACTGAYGAACAAATTAATCTACAGAAATTGGTATGCTCTACTAAACARCTTGGACCTAGCTTCTGTTTTGTAACTAACACTAATGGTTTTCTCTGCATTTTTGTTTTGCAGCTTCGAGTTTTCAAATTGGCAAAATCTTGGCC